TATATATATATATACACCTGGGCGTGGCCCATGAGAACAAATAAAAGTGTGCCAAATACCAAAAAGATATTGAATAGCCAATGAAGTAGTTACAAGTTTGCACAGGCAATATGAAGTGAGAACAAGGTTGCAGACATACGTACAGCGTATTATAATCATAAAACAGATTATACCAATGTGGCAGTAATCAATGAGATACAGAACAGTACATGTCAAGGTAATGTGAACTTAGCAGTTATGCAGGATTATATCATATTTCCACCACACACATCATTAAAAAGATGTTCTGCAATCATTAAAAGTTGATGGAAAGAAAGCTACAGCCACAAGACACATGCAGTCCAGTRAAGTTCTTTGAAATTTTGTTTGCTTAATCGTTTTTAATGGTTAGCACCTTATCTGTACTAAATTTAGATTCACTTTAAGCTCCCGACAGAGGAGTTATCTGTAATAGGGTCAAAAGATTTTACCATATTCAGAGCACAGGATCATTGCAGGTAGATGAATATCAATACTTACTCTTTGAGCCAAAAAGTTTTAAACTTAGTGTTTATAAGCTAAAGTAAAACTAGATACCACATACCAGTAGCATATATACAGCTCTGGAAAAATATGAGACCATTTTCAAAATGATCAGTTTTATTTTACTCTATGGGTATATCCATCCATCCATCCATCTGTTATCTATACCCGCTTCTTCCTTTCAGGGTCACTGATGCCCATATCCAGCAGTCACAGTGTGAGGGGTGGGGTACACCCTGGATGGGTTCAAGTCCATCACAGGGACACATAGAAAATGAGACAACCATTCACTCTCTCACTCACAGAGTTATAAATTAACCTAACAGTCATGTTTTTGGTCTGTGGGAGGAAGCCGGAGTACCCGGAGAGAACCCACGCATGCATGGAGAGAACATGCAAACTCTACCCAGAAAGGTCCCTGTGTCAGGATTTAATATGGCAACCTTCTTACTGAGAGGCATCAGCTCTACCAACTGAGCTGCCATGCTGCCTTTATAAGTATAGGGTTATAGGTATTTGTTTGAGTAAAATGAACATTGTTATTTTATTCTCTGAACTACTGACATGCCTCTGAAATTCCAAGCAAAAATTTGTATTTGCAGAAAATGAGAAATATTCAAAATGACAACAAAGATGCAGAGCTTTCAAACCTCAAATAATGCACAGAAAACAAGTTAATATTAATTTAGAAACAACAAAACTAATGTTTGAACTCAGGAAGAGTTCCGAAATCAATATTTGGTGGAAATATACAGAAAGCTCCACTAGAACAGATTTATTGTTTTTATTTTATTTTATTTTGTTTTATTTTTTGGGGGGTGGGCTCAATGGATAGCCCTTCATCAGAGCTAAGCAACAACAACAAAAAAAAAATCTGAAGTTCCTACCCAGATAGCAAAAGATTTTAATAAAATTTTGACTCATGGTCAAAAAAGTTTATTGTTGGTTAAGGTTGACGACTGATGGTGAATCAACCATCAAACAATCATCCAATTCTATTCCAATAACATCTAATGAATGTTGAATCAACATTATTATAGTTATGGTTAAAAACTTAACATTTTTTTCAACAAGTAAGTCACTGACCACTTTTTGTTTAATTTAAACATGAATTCAGTATTATGCCTAACCATATTTCAACACTGATTCCATCATATTTTGCTATCTGGGTATGTTGAATAGTTTTTCAGTTATAAGCATTTTTGTATGTCTAAACACCACCTTTTTAGATGGAGATATGGGGTCTATCGTAAAAGTAGCTGGCGCAGTGTAGGTCRGACACATCTACATTCCTGCCAAATTTCATGTTGATCTGTGAAACGGTTGACCAAAAATCACAATAAATAAACAAACAACACAAAAACTGTGTGCGGGGGTCATAATAAACCAAAGTGCATGAGTAACCCTTTTCCTTTTAGGTCTGTCAGTATACAGTTTGTCATCATCTGCCCGTCTTTCTTCTTTTTGATCTTTCTTCTAGGTACTGGATCTCTGAGTTTCCCGCAGAGTTCAATCTGAACCCCGAGCTGTCGGAGCAGATCAAAGACTTTAAAGACCTCCTGACCACCGAAGGCAACGAGCGCCAGAGCCAGCTCATTGACCTGGACAGTGTGTGAGTGAAGCGGCCGCTAAACGCTGCGAGCTGTAGGCGATATGGCCGACCATCAATCTCTGCGGGTGTTTGCACGTTCTCTTATTGCCTGATGATTGACCATACTGAGCTGTGCAGGGATTGGTCGGCGACTTATCAAGAGTCAAAGGAAAAAAAATCATTTTGACCTCATTAACTTTTAGATAAAATACTGGGTTTGTGTTGCAGATAGTTTTTCCA